ATTAAAACTGGTACCTTGGTTACTTATTTTTTCAATAAAATTGTTCCCTTTGGGGCCACGCCAATTACCCCCGCCCCCCCCCCCCCCCCCCCCGACTACGACACTATATTTGCGTATTCTTGTGTATTGTCAATGAGAATACACCAAGCCCAGCAAGCCTAGCAAGTTTAAAAAAATAGTCGTTTTTTGAGAATACACTGCATGCTAATAGAGAATGAGTGTACTGGCGCACAAGGACAATAAAATCGAGAAACAAATTATCTATCATTTCTCAGCTTTCTGTTCGAATACGAACTGAATAGAGAATAAAACTGATAAGTTAGATTGTATTTTCACGATAGAATTAGTTTCATCAACTCAATCAGCAGTCGTGAAGGAATCACGTTTTCAGCTGAAATATAATGAACCAAGTACATCTCAACAAGAATTAAATACCTCATGTTAGATCTGCTGCGATCCAGCGATGTTATAGTAAGATTCGTCAGTTGAGCAGAAAATTCAACATTCTCTTAGTCGTTTTCATAATCGCGCGTAGAGTGATTGCCATCTAGTTAAATATGTTACGTGTGTAACTACGTCTTCAATAGTGAATCTAAACTCAAGTTAAATCGGCTTCTCAATATATATTCATAGCCGAATTATTTGTCTTTTGAAAGCATTGTGTAAAAATAAAAATTTTCTTCTTGTCTTTTCTCTAAATAATCGTTTTATTTTTAATGAAATGAATTAATGGCTTATTAATATGTAATGGAAGAGTACTGAAAAAGTTAAACCTAAAACAAGGTCTTCTTTCTGTCACAGTATGAATCAATATAAGATTGACGCTTGCATAGGTAAAATACAAGATTTAATTAAAGATACGATTTAAAAATACGAGATTTAAAAAATACTGACAAATCACTGCACAGACGTATCAAAGAAGGGCAGACAATTAAATCGGACATTTGATCATTAATAGATGTTTACCCATGTTGTGAAAACCGTCGGTTAACCATGGTTATTTCAACCGAAACCATAGCAACGCAGAGTAAAAACCACCAGTTAAACGCCCAGTTAACCGCGGTTATTTCCGTTTAACCGTTGGTTTTTACTCTGCGTTGCTATGGTTTCACATGAAATAACCACAGTTAACCGACGGTTTTCACAACATGAGTAGTTACTCTACTAATTAACGTAACTGAGAGGAGTAACAACAGAGATGAGATCAATTTAAACGACTTTTTTAAAAAGTTCTAAAAAATATTTTAATATTTTGAGAAAAGTATATTCCTTTTTGATTGACAAAGTCATTGATCCGTAGTTTTCATCCTATCTCTTGTATTTTTATCGTTGTTTAGAGATTCGTATAAAGAAATACAACAATTTCTTTATGATTGTGATAAAATAAATGGATACCTTTTGTTATCTCCGCTATTTGCATTCTTCACACAACCACCGATTTATGTTATGTTTATATTACGATTATATAAGTTATTATTCAATCTCTACTTTAATATGGAACGATGTTATCTGATAGAAACCAAATCTATGTGCAGTATCTATCACATTTTTTCACCTCTTTTTGCTTTAAAAAAAATTTCCGATTTTAGTTTGATTTTATATAAACAGAAAACGATTTCATCTCTATTGTACAAATTAAATTAAAGAAAAGTTCGAGATGATGATAATGATGCATACCTTATCTTATTCTAAGTGTTTGAGTTCATGTAATTTCTTGGAATTTGTATTATTTTATTGCAAATGAATTCAAAGCACGGATTGGAAAAAAAAATTATTTACAAAGACAACAATAAAAAAACAACAACAACAACAACAACAACAGTTGAAACTATCATTCATTAAACTAGTTTAAATACAAAAAATATTCATCGAATATCAATAGTGTATATGTGTGTGTGTGTGTGTATGTTTATCAGATAATTTTTTTTCACTGTTATCGAATCTGAGAGAAATGACCGTTAATTATTATTTGAAGAAATAATTGAAGAAAATAATAAACTAGAAACAGAAATTTAAGGAGAAAGAATCATTCAGAACGTTTTATTTCTTTTTTACTCTAAATGATGTAGTTTATTTTCCCCCTTGTAGGAATGTTTCCATAACGACATTCTTTAATTGATCGCATTTTTTTTTCTCAATAGTTTTAAGCAAAACAAAAATCAAAAAAAAAATATATAACAAAGAACTAACGCAATAGAACCATAGAAAATTGGAAGACGATAGTTGAGACAAAATAGTCAAATAATAACTTCTTGTCACTCTATTTTTTCAATGTTTTAACATTCGCAAGCAAGCACACTCACACACACACACACACACACATACACATATTCAAAACTGAAAAAGAAAATTTGACAAAACGTAAAAATACACAAAAGAATAATAGGAATAAAGAAAACTACCAAAAAAAAAGAACATAAATTGCATCATTCTTTTACACAAACAAGAAAAAGCTTGATATATATATATATCACAATTTTTAAAAAAAGTGAAATGTGTATGTGTGTGCACTCCATTGATTCTTCTATTATACATCAAAAGAAGAAAACAAGAGTAAATTTTATAACGGGCAAAATTCATTTCGTTGATTGATAATATTTAACAAGAAATTTAAGATAACTGAAAAACTCGACTAGAGATTGAATACAAAAAAGTAAAGAGATCGAATAAATCGAAGTAAATGCATAAAGTTGAATCATTCTTCAATATGACTATAATTTATATAATTTTCTGGTATTAGACCAGTTTGTCCATTTATCGTACCGATAACCCAACCAGGTTCACGAGATGATTTAACTAAAAAAGAAAATAAATGATTCTTTTTTCCTTTTTATGTTGCTGAAAATTTTATATGAAAAAAAAATAACATACTGTTTGTAATGATTTGATTTGCATTGAAAGATAATTCAGTTTCATTATCGGCTTTACAAGAATATAATGTAGTTGCCCGACTATCAAAAAGAAAAACATTTGCATACTAGATAAACAACTGAGAACATTCTCTTCATACGTCACAGTTTTCTTCAAAACTCTTGTATTTGTCGATGATGATGTTGTTGACAATGGAGTTCGACTACTTTTATCAGGTGTTTGTGGTTCAAATTTTGAAGATAAAGTATTTAAACGATTATAATTTTCAGATGGTATTTGTCTAAACAACAATAAACATTATAAATATTTATTCTTAAATAAAATAATGGGCTAGCCGTATCTTCGCCAATATGACTTTCGCCAATGGCGAGTGACATGTGAATTTTCGCCAATACAACGCCTTCACTTTCGCCAATTGCCGAAAGTCATGTGGATCCTTGCCAATACGATCATTCCACTTTCGCCAATTGGCAAAACTCCGGTGAAATTATTGACCAAAGTCAAAGGACTCAAGCGTAATCTGATAATGAACTTGACATGTCTGAGTCTGAAATGTCGTTTTTCTTTTTTCCTTTTTTTTCCACTACCAACAAGGTTAGCTAATGACGTTACTATTTCAGCTAATAATCGTTTGTTCAAAATCGATCTTATCTTTAGTCGAACGTATCTTTTGTACATGAATTGAGGAAATGTCGCCAATATTGACCAAGGTTCGACGAGTTTCTCTAACTCCACCTCTGTTTCTTGACAATTGACGAAGGCTTTGTAGATTCACGCCAATATTTGCAAAGTTCCTATGGAAATTCAGTATTGGCGCGAGTCCACTGAACCTTCGCCAATGCTACTCCCTCCTTTTCGTCAATTGGCAAAAGTTGACTTGACTTTCGCCAATACACCACCCGAACATTCGCCAATAATTGGCGAAGAGCGGAAACTCCAAAATAATGTCTTACCGTGACTGTGATGACGAAGATTGATTTGAAGAAATACGTGTTTGACTTGATGGATTTGGTGAAGAATCTAAAAACAATTTATTTTTCTTTAATATATTTCTAATAAATATATTTATAAACTCTTACTTGGAAGAGAATGTACACCAATAGATGATGAAAAACTTTTTGAACTCAATGATTCGAGACTACTGCTTGAACTAGCTAATTAAGACAAAAAAAATAAAATTAAAATTAAAAAATTGAATTATTATAGTATGTCATGTTATTTTTTTTACATTCTTTTCGTTGATTTTCATCGTAAATTGGATTGAAAACATGTTTATTTTCAATGTGTATATTATAATCTGGACTACAGATTCCTCGTCGTCGAATATCAACATTATCTATGTCGGCGGGTGGTCGTCTTGTTACAGACTAAATCGAAAAATATAAAAATAAAATAAATAAATAAATCTACAAAGTACAAAAATTTTGTTTTCTCATACCGCTAGAGACGATAATGAATTACTAATATTAACTGGATGTTCACCATTTTCCCTTGATCCAACCATTTCTTCAATATCGTGTGTATTAAGTGTTGATTTGAACATCTACAGAAAAATAAATATTTATCTTGTAAAAACATAATATACAAATATAGAAAAATAAAATACTTTATTATAATGAATAATAATTAATTCAACAATGGCATTACGAAATTTTATATCGTAAATAGATGAAACAGTTTCAACTTCTGGACGAAGTAATGATGGTCCAAAACAAACGCCAAGATTAACAGGAGTCATTAAATTTTTTGCATTTTGTCGAGATACTCTAAAATAAAGAATAAAATTTTTTTATATTATACTATAAAAATATAATACATGTTGTTTACTTTGACAAATGAACCATCAGTATAAATAATAATTCATAATTTTGTTTTGGTAATTCTTTTAAAAGACTATGAATACATCGGATACGTTCAGCTTTATCGTCAAGCACTAAAAATAATAATTAAAAATAAAAAAATTTTCAAAGAAATAAATTGATTAATTCAATTGTTGTTTTTTTAATGAAAATGTTGATATTACTCACTTGCTGCTTCAATAAATCTATTATGAAGTTTAAATGTAAATAATGGTTCTTTTAATGATCTCAAATAAAATTTTAATCCACTACAGATTGTTTTCAAATCAGTATTATCTTCATCAACAGGTGTTGCTAATTTTTGCTGTAACGTCTTGTGACTATCTATAAAAATTAAATTTACATTTTAATTTTAATTTTAATTGAAAATAGCTTAAGTTCAATGAAAACAACAATATTACCAAAATAAGCAAGAACATAAGAATGTACTTTGGATGTCATTCCAACCACACGATAAAGTCCTTGCTCTTCTAGTCCTAAAATAGAATGGTCAAGTTTTTTTTTTATACATTGTACATTCTAAATAATCCACACTATTTAACCTTTTTTTTCGACAGCATGAATACATTTTTTAATAAAATCAATTCCAGCTTCATCCAATTCATCTACACAAAGACACAGAAAATATTTAAATAAAGAAATTAAAAAAAACGTCTAAAATCGTAATTTTACGTTGCATTTCTGTTCGAGCCGATGATGGAGTTTTGGATACATTCTAAATAAAAATAACAGATAATATTTGTCTAAATATCAGCATAACGGGTGTGGCATAAAGAATGATCGTCCTAGTATTTTCTATTTTTATCGTGTTTCTTTACGACTCTTAGTTTAGCGTTTTTTTAAAAGGTGTGCCACATACAAAACCATATATAAACTTTTTCAGAACTTCAATCAAGAAAACTATGCAGATTAGACGAAAGAGGAAAAAAATGAAAACTTTCTAAATTCAAAAACGATTTCTTTTGTTAACATTTTGAAAGTAAGAAAATCTGAATCACCCATTATGTAGTTCTAACTTCGCTCTAACTTTTAGCTATACTTCACATTTTTTTACATAAAAATCCATGGAAAAATAATAATTTTTCTGTCAGTTACCACACATTTTTTCATTAATTTTTTAAATTCTGGTTTTCAGTAACGCTCTCATAACTCCATCAAACCAAAAGCTTTTTCGATCGAATTTGTTTTGTTTCATTCAGAAATGATTGCTCTTCTCTATCTAACTGGAAAATCAAAACTTCGATCAATTTTTTTCGTTTCTTGCATGGGCACATTGTAGGAAATGCGGGGCTGTCAATTTTTGTAATTTCGTTCTCTAGCACATCATCTACTCTAAAAAAAAAATTGTTTTCAGACTACGAGAAAGAGCATATTCAAAAGTACAAAAAGAACTGCGTTCTCACTTTTGCAACCCTTTTTTACGGAAATAATAGCAGAAGAAAAAAGTTCAAGTTGAAAAAAATACCAAATTTAGAAAGTTTTCATTTTTTTTCGTCTTTTGTATAATCTGCGTAATTTTCTTGATTGAAATTTTGAAATTAAAGTTTAAGTATGGTTTTGAAGAGTATTTCGCGGCGCATATTTAAACAAAAAACGCTAACCTAAGAGTCCTAAAGAAACAGGATAAAAATAGAAAATACTAAGAGAGTCATTCTTTATGTCACATCCGTTCTATCTATTCTTACAATTTGTCCGCCCATTTGTGATATCCAACTTTCAAGATCTTCTTCCGTTATTGCTTGAAATGTAAATACTGTTGTTTTATCTGATGATATTCCTTTTTCTATTGCATATACATCAAATAAAAATCGTTTATCTAATTTTTCATCTGCTGGATGCATTGAACATGTACGAACAAATAATTCACCAGGACTGACCTGAATTAAAACAACAATACAATGTCATTAAATATAAAATAAAATAAGACTATTTTATATCTTCATACTTGTTTATTACTTGTTTGAGTAAAATTCATCATTCTTAATAATGCAATATCTTTCTTATATTGACAATAATATTTTGTTAACGATGTGGTACCAATTAATGCTTCTAAATTATAAGATAAAAAAATTAATTTAATAATAATAATAAAAGAAAATAAAGTAATACAAACTTTTTTCAACTAAAAATAGATATCCTTCTTTATTAAATTCTTGATTTTTTAATATATATTCTTCTGGTCTCTTGAAATAAAAAAGAAGAAAAATATTTATAAAGAAAATGTCTTTTTAGTCTAGTTACCTGTAACATTTTACGTTTAAGATCTTCTCCTTCACGTTGAAAACAATCAAAATTCTCTCGACACTAAAAATTACAAAAATATTTGTGAAAAAAAATTATTTAAAATATTTTACTTTAAATTAATATTACCTTAAGAACTTGATGATGCAAAAACTTGATAAAATAATCAAATTCCTTATAAATTTCATAACCTATTGCAAATAATGAATAATGCATCAGTTTTAATTGACAAAGAAAAAATAATGTTTTTGTTACCCGCATGATAAAATGACAGAAAATTCAGCATTAAAGCCAAAAGCTAAATGAGACGATGAATAGCTAGAGCATTATTTAGTACAAAGAATTACAATTTACTACTAATTAATAAGCGTGTAAGTCAGTAAGTCTTCAAGTATTATGAACTAACTCTTGTTGAAAATGAAAAGTATTCAAATATATCGTTGTATATATTTGTAAATTATAATTTGTTCAAGAAAAAGGAGAGATATGATGGATTCAAAGATAGATTTTAGCGTATGTATTCAGAAAAACTGCTGAAAATACAATTAATATTTAGAGCTATCAAGGAAACAACAACACATATGTTAGTAGTAGATTCGCGTACTAAAAATCAATTACAGTAGTGGCCAAAATTATAGGTTCACCTTTATTTTTAATTTTTCTCCTCGACCATAATAGTTAGAACAAATGTGAAAAAAGATTTGAACAACTGAAAGAGTTTATAATGAGGTGAGATGCATATGAAAATTCCATTAAAATTCCTACAAACTCAGTCTGTGGAAAACTAAGATTTTAGAAAATCCGAAAAAATCAAGTCCCGCAATTCCAACGGAAACTTTTTATAAATAGCCCATTCGTATAAAGCAAACATTTCTGAACAAAACTAGACGTCGTCGAACTCTCTATGACGTTTTTTCATCGAACTGCATTCAATTTACGAAAGGCTCCTCCACGTCACAATCAGCAAAACCGCTAGAAAAAGAGCAAAAATGATAATGAAAATGACCGAGGGACCTTTCATAAATTGAATGCAGTTCGATGAAAAACGTCGTAGAGAGTTCGGCGACATCTAGTTTTGTTCAGAAATGTTTACTCTATACGAATGGACTATTTACAAAAAGCAAAACTTGATTTTGTCGGATTTTCTAAAATCTTAGTTTTCCACAGACTGGATTTGCAGGAATTTTAATGGAATTTTCATATGCATCTCACCTGATTATAAACTCTTTCAGTTGTTCAAATCTTTTTTCACATTTGTTCTAGTTATTATGGTTGAGGAGAAAAATTAAAAATAAAGGTGAACCTATAATTTTGACCAGTACTGTATTCTGAGGAAAGTTTGATAAGTTGACTATGTGAAACGACAGTTAGAGAAAGATAGAATACTCTAACAATTCGTCTGATTCTTACTCTTTGTAAAACTATACACCATAATCAGAGCTGGACAAGTCAAGTAAAAAATGCCTCAAGTTCAAGTCAAGTCATGAAAGAGAGTTTCTGAGGCTATAAAAACTCTCTCATCAAAAAGGTGCTAGCAAATTTTATGTTCTGCCTAATTTTAACTAGACTTGATTGAGTCGCAACATCTTATTCCCAGTTTTGTACGGTCAAAAGTAAGTAAGAACAACTCCATGACTCGAATGAGAAAATATGTAGAGAGGAGAAGAAAAAGTTTTTTTAGAATGAAAAAGCAATAAGTCTGTCGTTTCATTCAGTCAACTTATTGACAAAGAAATAAGTGTGAGATCAATACAATTAGAAATGGTAGATCAACGAAACCGATCATACTTACTGTTTCTACAAAATCGAATTTTTTTCTTTCTTGCACCTGTTGTAATAGAAATACATAATCCAGACTTTCTTCTCGAAATCTTTTTGTTTGCATATGCATATTAGCATCAGCCTAAAATATGACATAGAAATAAGAAATAATTTCAAGATAAAATACAAAAAAACGAAAAAAAAATGTTTATACCTCTTGAAATAAATCACCTCGTTTTGATGACATTTTTAAATTATTTTCCATAACTGTACAATAACGTTGTGTACTTTTATCAAATTCTTTTTTTTTCGTCTATTAATAAATTTAAAAAGAAAACACGGTATAAAATATCATCCAAGAAATAGAAGTATATTATAAAAACCTTTGCTTTTCCAATTGTCGTCTTTCGAAATTCATCTAATTTTTTCAAATAGGCTTCGGATGATGTACTCTAAAAGAAAAACAAAATGTCTAAACGAATACAAACGTTAAGATTAATTTTATACCAATGAATCACGTGCTTCTTCGATTCGATGAAGTACTTCTCCCATGTAGGATAGCGATGATTCTTTTAACAAAAAAAAAAACAAAAATACAGAAAATATTAATAAAAGATTGACAGAATGACAAAATTTAAACAATTTCTTTATTATTAGACTGTTGAAATATTAAATCAATTTTTGTTTTTTACTAAATCAATAGTAATTCTCTCCATTAGTAAACTTTAAATAGAATATAAATAGAAAAATGCTAAGAAATAGTAAGTCAAAAGTGAAAATGAGTGATATCCATACCAATATCTCTTTCTTCTTCACTCATTTTTTGTCCAACAACAAAAAATTTGAACGTTTTTAACGTTTCGGCAACACTTCTGGATGCTTTTGATAAAGCTTAAAAAATATATAAAAAGAATATATTTTAGTATAATTAAAATTGAAAAATAATAGATGAGATCCATACTTTTATTAGCCACCATAACTTCATTTAATTTTTTAATCAACGTCTTAATACTATTTGATGTATTTTCTAACTCACTAAAATATAAACAGATGACATATTTATTTCATTTCTGATGAAAATAAACAAAAACCTATCTTGTTTTGTCAATCGTACCTTTCATGTTGTCGAAGTTTTTCACGAAAATCGGGTGAATCTGTTAAACATTCAGTAAATTCTAATGGAGGAAGTTTGAGTACCATGATGAGTATGTACGTTATCAATAGAAAAACAAGAACATAAAACAAAACAATTTATTTTTTTTGTAATTAAAATCTAAAATAAAGTCAAATTTTAGTATATTCTATTGTTTAATTGAAAATATATTACTCTACTTAATAATTTTAAAGTAAAGACTAAAAAATCATAGTCAACTCAATTTCAGTGGAACAAATCAAATTCAATTTTTCGAGTCCTATTATTCACCTTTTAAAGTTATATGACTCATTCATAGGTTTTTTTTTATCCTTTTCTTTATCTATTATGACAAACAGAAGCCTAGAACATACGTATTTGTCAGAACCATTTTAGAACACATCTTTTCTCAATTAAAACGTGATTATTTTCATCCTCTAAATTTTTTGATATGTGAAAATTTAGAATAAGAGGTCAAACACTATCACCAACGATTGAGAAAATGTTAATTTTTGACCTATCAAAAATAATGTGTCTACTAAAGAAAAGATTCTACCTGATGATGAACAATGACTATGAATGAAGATCCTTTTAAAATAGATTAAATTACTTTAGTGTTGTGAATATATCTCTCTTTTTCTATCCATTTTACATGAGTTTTGTTATACAATATGGATGCAACAACTACTGTTGCTAATATTACTTATTTAGATCACCAAGACACAAATTAAAAGAAATAGTAAAAAGTAACTGAAGCAAGTAAAAGTGTACCCAGTCTTATACTAATATTCCTCCTTTTTTTCTTTTTTCCTTCTTTTGTCTATAAGTCACACAATGAGTCTGCTATTATCTATCTTTTTGTCCCGAGCTACAATACAAAACATGTAGAGAAACGAAAAAACAAAAAAAAAAAAATGAGAAGATTAAACAGTTTGAATGATGGTGTATTCTATTCTACGTGTACGTGTATGTGTACAATTTTTCAATGTTGCAATTATATACAAATAGAATAAATTGCACACGTATTTTCATCATATCTCATTTCATTCATTCATTCCTTAAAATAGTAATTGGAACAACGAAATATATGTACAAAATATAATATTAGAATAAAAACATATAAAAAAAGAAAAGAAATTGTAGATTATATTTGTTTGTTTATTTGCCTTCTTTTTCTTATTCTTATTCTTTAACTTTAATCTATCACGATTATTGTTATTATTCATAATGATGATTAGTTTGACAGATAACAAAAAAAAGTATATTTCTAATAATTCAGATATTGTTGCTAGCAATTTTATGTCCAATATTGTCCTCAATCAATGGCATGAATTATGTATTTCACCAAAAAATGAATTAATAATCAACAAAATATAACTATGAAGAATGTTTTACGAAGTGTATTAATACTAAATGACGAGTGCAAGTGTGTGTGAGATACTCTAGTACTATTGTTGTTAGTTCAGAAGAGAAGTACGTCGAAAAATAACGCATTAAATAGTATTAAAAACATTAAACAGAAATTTAACATCATTCTATCCAAGACTTATTCATATCTTATAGGATGCATATCGTATTTCGAAAAATTTAAGTGAGAACAGATGTTACTTAATTTATTCGATTAACAACATTCGTAATAACAAATGTTAAAAAAAAGTAGAAGAAGTAGAAACATAATTTGGTAAAAGTCTTTATATTAGAATTATATAATAACACAAAAAGAAAAAAATGCTAGAAAATGACTTTGTTCTTCTCTGTTTTGATACAATGGTATCAATAGGTTAAATTTCTGGTACATAAGTAAATCAAAAATCTTGTATAAAGATTTCAAACGCGTTTTAATAATGAAGTAAAACAGTTAAAGTAAAAAAGAATGAAACGTAGACACTATTCTTCTAAACTGTTTAAGAAAGATATTCAAAAAACTTAACAGAAAAGTGTATATAAAAAGTACAAAACATGATTATTCACTCACTCTCATTTTCCAAGCAAAAAAGAATATCTTTTTTGCTTGGAAAATGAGATTTTCTTTTTCTTTTTTCAATCTATTAATCAATCTTTTAATGATTTTTTTCTTAATTTATTTCGTTAATCAGCGCGTTTTCGATTAAACTAGCCATTTTCCTCCTCACCTTACTCTTTCTTGTCCTATGGCCCCTATAGGGATCATTTTATAAAAATTTAGTTCACTTGAACTAATGAATGTCTCGCAATACTAAGTGTTCTTTATCTCATAGGGTACAGTCTATGACAAACGTCTCAACCTGTACCCTACCCTACCCTAATAGGTCAGAGTAGGATAGGGTCACCCCCTATGCACCTCTATTGTCCTTCAGAACCGTCAGATTTAGCCAAAGACAAGAAAGGGTTAAAATGTTTCCTTAAACTGTCAACTATTTGCTCACGTATTAACATCATATTTTTTATTTTCGTTTTTAATAAACATTTGTACAATATTAAATTTATTAGAATAATGATTTTTATGTCTATTTCTGAACAAAGAGATTTTTAACATTCAAAATATCAAATAAAAAGCTCAAACAATATTATGATAATCATGAACTGTAAATTTCAAAAGTAAAAAATCGTCATATCAGAATATTTATGCACAAACTTCCAAAACAGAAAATGAGGTGAAAACGGAAGATATTTTCGAAATATGAATTAAAATTAAAAGAAATTTTAAAAATAAGTTAACAGAATCAATTTGTAAAAAAGATTTTTCTTAAAAGTCAATCATAAGATTGAAATTAGTAAATCTCAATATTTAAGCGTATATTGAATATTGAGAAACTTGAGAATGTACGTCAAACGTATCACTATTATTATTGTTTATGTTTAATTAAACATTCTTACCGAACTTGTAAATATTCATATGTATATATCTACTCTTTTCACAATATTAGATATTTCATGATAATAATCATAATAATATGGGAAAAGAATTTTGTTTTTTCTTTCTATTTTTCTATTTAGAAAGACTAAAAGAAAGAAAAACATTATAATGAAAATGACATAAAACATTATAGACAACGATAAGATAGAAGAAAACAAAAGAAATTATTTTTCCAAATAGTTTATCAGTATATTGAATGGATGAAGAACAATACTAAAAGAATAAAGAGAAACAGTATTAATGTATCGTGATTGATTTATTGAACAATATTTGACAATAAATGGATAGTTATCTAATTATGTGTGAATGAATATCATCTCATCATCATCATTTATGCTCGTTTAGATAACATTACCTTGATCTTTGTACAATAAATAGATTATACAAAATGACTTCGTAAATGTCATAACCGATGTAATATATATCTTAAACAACTTAATAGTGGTGCTAAATTCTCAACTTAATAAACGTCTATGAACAAAACAAAAGGATATATAAAACTGTATATAAATACAATAACAAAAGATACTTGTTCAATATTACCATTACTTCAAAATTATGAACAAAAATCAAAAAAACATGTAGACATATATATTTGTTTTTTTTTGATATAACAAATATAGAGACTTTTGTTTAGATATATAGAAGAATATAATACAGAAATTTCTTTTTGTCACACTTATTGTTTCATGTCATTAATTCCATTTTCTATTTCTAGATTGAATTTCAACGTACTAGAAATCTTGTTTTACATTTTTTTTTTAGTTAAACTCTCCTTTAATCTGTCACCACAATCTGTTACACGAAGATGTTGGTAGTTCTTACTAGAAAAAAATTTCAGATCTTTCTGTTATTCATTGACTTGGATAGAACAAAAACTACGTAATAATAGTATGAGAAAAATCTAAATTATTTTTATTCTAAAATAAAAGTAAAAATGTGTACGTAAATGCCGACGCAAGTTGATTAATTGATGCAAGTTTTATATAATATTCATAACAACAAAGAGTGAAACACAATATATTACAATGACGCAAAGATCTCATTATTAGAATACAATATTCTACAAAATTGAATATAAAAGAGTAAATCAAAACAAGAAAGATGTATATTGAATTAGAACAATTTAAGACACGAGAAGAAATTTGTAAAAGCAAAGAAAATTCAGAATCAGTTCAAGAAAACTTTATTGAATAGAAGAGACACATTTTATCTGTATAATATACGAAGTTACTTCTGATGATCTGGAAATCTTCATTACTTAACAGAATATTCTATGTCAGAATGAGAAATGGTTACTGATTACCATGCAGCATGTTTTTAAGATTAGTTTGCTCTATAACGTACATAGAGCACAACGAACTAAGTAGTGTTCTTTAATTTCACTTCTCCGTTAACACAAATCTATATTGAATTTTTTTTCTCTTTGCCACTCGTTCGGAAATAGCCGTTCGAATCTGATAAAACGGAATGTCTGATTATTATTTCTGATAAGATTTAGTTATTGATAGATTCCCCCTTTATGGCTATATATAGGTATGCACCAGTTAATTGTATTTGTAAAATTGCTGATAACTGTAACTGGTGCATGCCTAGGCATATACTACCGGTACAGTGGTTTTTTTTTCGTAGGCTAAAGAC